TCATTCATGTCATATATTTGTTTTCTTTTCGGTCTCTCTATGCGTTAATCGTTTTAAAAAGTTGTAAAAGTGTGAAAAGGGACATATAAAAAAGATGCCACAAAGTCAAGAGCCTGTTATCGAGTATAGCATCTGTTTTCTTATTACCTTTTTCTGCGAAAATCATAACTCCTCCTTTCACATACTAAGTGAAATGTATCGACACGTTTTCTGAAGGATATGAGATAAAACTTTCACTTTCATCCTTTGATCAATGTGAAAGTAGTGAAAGAAAGAGAATAGCAGTATTCATTTTGTCTCGTTCCGTAACCAAACGTTACCCATGTATAGAAAGAAAAGACATCTACATCTTACGATTCTCGTTAGGCACATATTCTTTTTTCCGTATTTTTTAAGCTAGGTTAGAGTACCTGGCTAACCGGGCACTACAACCGTCCGGTTTACCTGTAGATTAACCTACTTGATAACCTCCCTGTATCTAATGTATTTCGTGTCTGGAACTAGCCCAACCGGTCGATTAAGTGGGCGGTTGGAGCTAGATCAGATAAAGCTAGTTCGATCAGTCGGTTAAGTGGGCGGTTAACCTAGCTGATAACCTCCCCAACCGCCCTAAAGTAGGTTGAACCGCCCGATCCTAGGTTAAACTTTTTGAGATGGAGCCAGCTTAACCGGGTCGAAAACCATGTTATCTACCTCCAACCGCCCAATTCTAGCTCCATTTTTTTTGCTTGGAAATGAATGACTGTTTATACATAATAAAAAGAAAACTTTCTTTGAGGAAAATAATCAAAAAACAGAAAAGAACAACAACACGTCCTGTTAGAAAAAAGAAGCAAATCTTCCCATAATGATAAATATAATCACAAAATTTAAAAGCCTTCTGCCTTACTTATGAGGTGTAAACTAAAATCTTTTTTATACTGATTTCTATTGAACAACGAGATAGAAAACGTTAAATCAACTTGCCTTCTTTATTACATACAATATAAACAGTTCGTTTGATTTGGTCTGTTCAAATCTGGTAATGACTTTGGTAGATTGTTTATATTGCCAGCTGTTCTTTTCAATATTAAACGTGCCATTTCGTAAAATGATTTTTCTATATTAATGTTATCCTTAGCACTTGTCTCTACAAATTTTATTGAATGTTCTCTTGCCAATAATTCACCACGTTGTTTTGGTATACAACGTTCATCTACCATATCGCATTTATTTCCAATTAACATTTTGACAACATCATCCGATGCTTGATCATCGATACTATGTAGCCATTTATTCATATTTTGAAATGAACGTGCTTGTGTCACATCATAGACTAACATAATACCCATTGCACCACGACAATAACTAGTAGTAATTGAATGAAATCTTTCCTGACCAGCAGTATCCCATATTTGAAGTCTTATTTTTTTGCTATCAAGTTCAATTGTTTTTATTTTGAAATCAATTCCAATCGTTTGAATAAATGATGTATTAAACGAATCATCCGAAAAACGAAATAAAATACAACTTTTTCCAACACCACTATCTCCAATCAAAAGTAATTTGAATAATAAATCATAATTTTTTGTTGCCATTCTATTACTGTCACTTGAACCGTTAACTTTCTCTTTATAATCTTATAAATATATCTTTTATCCGAATGAATGGGATAGTCCATCTATCAGTGATTATCCACCACTAGGTGGTTCTCCCCATTTTGTTCTTAAAACAGTATTCAAAGACCTATTTATTGAACGGACTCGTTCACTACA